GGAGAGGAGAAAGGTGAAAGAAAAAATAATTCAATGCAAAGATGGACAAGAGAAAGAGACGCTGAACTCAACTTACACAGCACTGGACAAAGAAGTGAAGAAGAGTGCCAGGAAGGACAAAAGACAATTCTACGACAACCTGGCTACTGAAGCTGAGAAGGCAGCAGGCAAAAGGGACCTGAGGACACTATATCAGATAACCAAGTCTCTATCCGGGAAGAGATCAACACAAGTGAAACCTATAAAAGACAACCAAGGGAACCCAATTACCAAAGAAGAAAGACAGATTAAACAATGGGCGGACCACTTCAAAGGACTCTTGAACCGACCACCACCTACAACCCGTCCATAAATACCAACAACAGCACGTACACAACTGCAAGTTGACACCAATCCTCCAACGAAAGCTGAAGTCATGAATGCAATCAAGCTTCTGAAAGCTGGAAAAGCAGCTGGACCAGATGGAATACCCCCTGAAGCACTGAAAGCGGACCCAGAAACGACAACAGATATGCTGACTCCATTATTGCAAAAGATCTGGAAAGAGGGAAAGGTGCCTACTGACTGGAGGAAAGGTTACCTGGTGAAACTACCAAAGAAGGGCGACTTAGGACTCTGCAAGAACTGGCGAGGAATCATGCTCCTGTCGACGCCAAGTAAAATCCTGAGTCGCATCATCCTGGAGAGAATCAAGGACGCGCTGGATACAGAACTCCGACCAGAACAAGCTGGATTCAGGAAAGGCAAATCATGTTCTGACCAAATTGCAACTCCACGCATTATCATAGAACAAAGCATGGAATGGCAATCAAATCTCTACCTCAACTTTATAGACTTTGAGAAGGCCTTCGACAGCGCAGCGTTGACCGCGAAGTAATTTGGAAACTACTCGAGTACTACGGCGTACCCCAAATATTCATCAACCTTATTCAACAGCTGTACGACAACGACACATGTCAAGTGATTCACAACGGAAAACTCAGCGAGGCGTTTGGAGTAAACACAGGAGTCAGACAAGGGTGCTTATTATCACCTATGATATTCCTAATTGTGGTGGACTGGATTATGCGTCAGACAGTGGGAAACGAGAGGACAGGGATATCCTGGACCGACGTGAAGAATCTAGAAGACCTGGATTTCGCGGATGATTTATGTTTGATGTCACACAAAATCGAAGACTTACAAGCAAAAACCGACAAACTGGTCGAAGAATCAGCAAAGGCAGGACTCCAGGTGAACATAGACAAGACGGAGGTCATGAAAATAACCAACCAACAACAACAACAACAGCAGCAACATCCGGCGCCAATCACCATCAACGGGAGGGATTTGAAAGAGGTTACTTCATTCACTTATCTGGGGAGCATTGTCTCAACCACAGGAGGAACGGATGAGGATGTCAAATCGAGAATCGGGAAGGCGAGAAACACATTCATCAACCTGAAACCAATCTGGAAATCTTCGTCACTCACCATCAACAACAAAATTCGGATTTTCAATACAAATGTGAAGTCAATTTTGCTTTACGGATCAGAAACTTGGCGAGTCACCAAGAATATTTTCAACAGGTTGCAGACCTTTATCAACAACTGTCTTCGCTCCATACTGAAGATTAGGTGGCCGGAAAGAATCACAAACAAGAAGCTATGGGAACAAACGAAACAGGAACCAATCGCTCAACAAATATGTAGGAGAAAGTGGAGATGGATTGGACACTCGCTGAGGAGGCCGTTGAGTGACATCGCGCGTCAAGCCCTCGAGTGGAACCCGAAAGGGAAGCGGCGAGTGGGACGTCAGTGCAAGGGTGACATGGAGGAGATCGTGTGAGGAGGAGATGAAACAGTATGGAATAACATGGACGCAAGTGAAAAGTACAGCACAAGACAGAAGCAAGTGGAGACGTGCAGTTGAAGCCCTATGTTCCACTAGGAACCCAAGGGAACAATAATAATAATAATAGTTAATAGAAATGAATGAACAAAATGGTGATAGAGATCACTGTTAATTTGAACGGTGGCTTCAGAGTCAGTGACACTAATAATAGTAATAGTAATAATAATAATAATGAGAAGAAGAACGTCCGTTAACATGCTGATCGAAGTAGTAGTAACTATGGGAAAATGGTTGTGAATTCATCTATACACATATACAGTAATTAGTTAGTAAAAAATAATAATAATAATTTGGAAAAGATGATATCGTAACTGACACAAATAAATCAAGTAAATCAACAATTAACAACAATAATCAATATGAATGGTAATAATGTGTATATGAATAAACAGTTACTACCTTGTGTGTATTAAACACTAAAGTGTACAAAGCGGGCAGATTTATTGACCAGCCTGCGGGTAATGACAGGTGGAGGTAGGATTATTGGCATCGTTGGAGTTTTGTCGGTTTCTTGCTTGTCCGCCTGAGTCGCTGTTTGGATGGCGTCACTATGTGTGTAAGCAGGCTTGAGTCTGTCCACGGAGACAGTCAGCTTTTCACCTTCTTTGTTCACGGTGAAATATTGTTCCGCGCGATGAAGTACTGGGAATGGGCCTTCGTATGAAGGTTCTAACCGTTTACTGACGTTATTGATGCGTATAAAGACTAACTCACAGGTTTTTAGATGTTCAGTTGCGTCTTCTCTGCGAGGAGACTGTCTCGGAGCTATTGGGTGAAGTTATAGTATTCGTCGAGTCAGTTGATTAAAAAACGCAGAAATATTCATATCTTGGGAGTCGTAGGAGGCTACTAACTGTCCTGGCAGTGTTAAAGTAGTGCCGTATACTAGTTGTGCCGGTGTACAACCGAAATGCCCTTTAATAGTTGACCGGATACTGAGCAAAATCAAAGATAATTTATCACTTCAGTTGGGTGAATCACATTGTGCCATCAAGGAGCTTTTATAACTGCCTGTGGAATCTTCCCACCAGGTCATTCGCTGCTGGAAGGTGTGCAGTGGTGAAGGTATTTTGCACTTCCAGAAGTCAGAAGAACTCTCGAAATAATGTCGACTGGAGGTGAGCTCCTCTATCCAATGTTACTGTAGAAAGGACACCATAATTTGAGACCTAGCGATCCAGAAATACTGAGGAAACATTTTCAGCTGACACATCATTGGGTGGGCAAGCGATAATCTACTTAGTAAATCTGTCTCTCGCCGTGAGAATGTGCGTGTACCCTATAGATGGTGGCAACCGGCCGACTATATCTATGTTTAAATGTTGGAATCGTCTATCTGGAAGGTCAAACTGCTAAGGTATGGTGACCGTATGTCTATGAACTCCCGAGTGTTGGCACTGTAGACATTCGCGTGCCCATTGTCGAATGCCCGAATTCATCTTTGGTCACACGAAATACTCACTTATATATATATCAGCATATGTCCACCAAACATAAGGCGTCCAGGGATTTCATTCTAAGTAACACAATGTACCGAAAATAAATCATCACTACAACAAATGAAATCTACTCAATGTTGACTAGAACATAATCGCGCATGAAATGCTCACAACTGATTGGTGTTTCATCGTTTCATTTGAAAATTACAGCAGGTAATTGGAACTCAACTTCATTGAGTGGGAATATGTTCAGTGAGGTGAGTGTGTGAATGTATATTACAATCAGTGTGAAATTTTAACTTGGCCTTATAAGATCCAATAAACGGAGTGAAATGAGTACTTTATCAGTACTCATTCAAAGGTGGTGGGTGAAGAGAGTTCCCATAGTCTTCACAGACTTAAACAATGATCATCACAATGTAATGGATCACATTGAAACGTATGTTCAGGTCACTTAAGTGTTCTATGGGAACAGTGAGAAAGAAATCTGACAGGATCTGATCCAGTTTAAGTTGAGATTGTTGGAGAATATATATATACATATGTATATATTGTAATCTGTGAATTTTCACTGACCAATTTCCATTTGTCTTGGCTGCGAGTTCACCAAGAACGACTGCCCTGTCGTCAATGAATGTTTGGTGTCTACTAAGTGGGCTAAGACCACAGTATTTATACCCTCGGTTGCCGCTTCATTCAACCATACAGGTACTCTTTCACTGATGCGCGTACCCACATCACTCTGAGCATGTAACTTGCTCTGTTGAAGCAGTTGACCTCATAGATACACACTGATGAGACTTTGAATATGTCAAGAAGTGCAGTTTGTGCAGAATATGATGGTGCCATCATTGTTTGTGTCATCGGCTTCTCATCAGCTGCCTATAGGCAATAGTAATTCTTAAGTTTATAAAAAGAACAATTTAGACACTCAAATGTTAGGTGATTTCAGCTGACAAGAGACTCCAAGCTTAATGAAAAGTACTCAGAAATGGCACTTGTATGGTTTATATCCAAAAAGGTGAAGTATGAAGAAGAAATGAAGGCTTCGATAGACTGACTAAGGAGTTGTATGATAAAGCCAAATGGTGAATCGGAAGACAAGTAACTTACATGTTGAGTGCATATGTGGTGATTCCGGTGTAAATCGATGCAAGAAGAGATATTAACATAGATGATACATGGTATGGGGAGACGTGGAAACCAACGAACATAAAATCACTCGTCCACCTCAGCTTCAAATCTACTCCATCTTATGTCTTTCAACGTTACAGATTCACCCATGTGGTGACATCAGTTAGCGAAGCATTGAAAAGCATCAAGGAGTACTGGACAGTCGTTCGCTCCTAGTTTGCGACCCGAACGAGTGACGAATTTTCCGTTAACGTGGTGAGCTCGTTATCCATTCGGTCAATTAGTTCGAACTCAGGTTGTTGCCTAGTACCGCAGAGTCTCAGACGAGGAGGAGGCAGTCACCTGGTATTGCCTGCTGATTTCCAATAGCTCTCTAACGAACACTAGGTGGTGAGAGGACCTGTAACCAACCAAACCCCGCTAAACTAACACTCAATAACACATTTTATCAGCAAAACAATTCAAAATTTATGAAACTGGCAGACACACACACACTCACTTATTTGTATTAAAATTCAAATGAAATAAGCAGAGAGAAAAGTATTTTCGCCAATATTTCTGTGAAAGAGAGAGTTACTGAGTTAAGAGTTAAATAATCGCGAACACATGGTGAACAGGACTTCAATTTATTGTAGATATGTTCGTCCAGTGTGCTGATCCATTGCTGGTAGACCATGTTTATCTGAAAAATTACAACGATCGCACATCAATTAGATGAATTAACACACATAAGTTCCCTAGTCGTGGCAACGAATGAATACGAGGATCAACATTGACTGACTGACTGACCAACTGACTAACCATCTAATTCAACCATGATATAAGTATAAAACTTGGGCACTGTGGTAGAGTATAATTCCATAATGGATAAGAATTTATTTTTAAATCACACAGTGTAGTACAGTTATATTAACTGATGACGTTTCGAGCACAAACTATTGCTCATAATCATATCAACTTGATATGATTATGAGCAATAGTTTGTGCTCGAAACGTCATCAGTTAATATAACTGTACTACACTGTGTGATTTAAAAATAAATTCTTATCCATTATGGAATTATAATTCAACCATGGTATTCATGCCATCCAATCCCCAAGATGTTGTCACGATGCTGAATGAAGACATACCTCCGTTGCTTGAATGATGTCACTTACAATCAGTGCGAAATTCGACAACATTGCCTCCCGTGAACGGTGAGTGTCCGACGGCCATAATTTTCCCTTTCTAGAAGTGCACAACAACTCACCGGAGTACGAATTAAGAGTTACGAGTTTCATACGACTTCCTCAATGCCACATTTGCATCATTACTTCAAATGAACCGCATCAGCCAGCCGTAGGTTGTTCTTCATCTGTGTGAGAGGTAATCTCACTCATCTGACCACCTCCATGTGCATATATCACAGTTCCCCTAATCTTATTCAGCAAAGAATGCAGTGCTCTCGAAGAGAATGCCTTCTACACGGAGAGCAGAGTGAAGCAGTGCACATTGTAGCATAACTTTACAATGGGGAAAGGATGTGTTTGCGAGGCTCATTATTCTAGAACACTTGATCGAATTCTGACACTCTTTGAACTTCTATCGTGACTTTAAAATCATCCACAGTATTCATGCTAAATGCCTCCATTCATGAATTGAAACCAGACGTTGTTGTATCAAAAAGAAGTCTGTTCATTCTTTGTTTCTACCTTGAGTGTAGAGAGATGAAACTCTGTTTTCATTTTCGGTGGTAATGTCTACTTAGCTGGATACCTAGATACCTAGCTAGCTTGTTGGAGAGCGCCCGCTACAGTTTGCTGAATGACGTGGACGCTTGATTGAGTTCTTCCGGTCGAACCAATCGACTTCAAAAGTGATCCCTGGCAGATAACGTTGAATGATGTAGGCTGTAGGCCTGAATTTTATGTCAAAATGTTTTCAACAGACGAATGAATTTCTTGGTATGTAGAAACAATGTCTGTGTACAGATAGATACAATTGCCATTCTCATGTCATTCAGGATGTCAATGTATTGTGGGAGTTGATAAGGCAAACATGGTGAGGGAGTTGGTCAGATGCCACCCACACGGTGCAACCAAACATGTGTGTTGTTCAGAAAACACTCAAGATCAAGTTGAAGTTTAGACCTCACTCCATTCAAAACGCTGTCGAGTAAATGATAACTGAAACACTTCATTGTCTTTCCAAAACATATCCGCTCAGTGCATTCACTGCACCTTTATGCAGAATATTTCATTCTGTTATCAGGTGATTGATATGCAGCAGATGTCATTAAATGTTCACTAATCAATTGCGCGATGGATAAATGAATGAATGAATGGATGAATACATTTCACCATGAAGACAAATTACATAGAAGGAACGTACTTTTTTGGTGTTTAAGCCTCCTCAGTCACTGAGTCTATTAAGACTTTGACTCTTTCCTTTGGACAAAGTACTAAAGAGTACAAAACTGTTATGATTTCAGACTGACTTACATTTTAAATAATGAAGTCGCTTATACTCCACGTCGACTACTGTTTCGGCAAGTGCATCTGGTAGGAGATGAAAACAAATTTCCGTGAATTGGAATGTAGTATGAAAGGCAGTGAGATACGAAATGCACAGAATGTTTGACGCTGAGACTGCAGTGAGACATGATGTTTCATATGATGGCTAGCCATCACCAGTTCAGCTAATGAATAATTTGAAGTAATATGAAGGCAAGCCAATTCCTAGTCTCAAATACTCAAAAGCACCTAGATTACATGCAGATATCCAAAGTTTCAATCAAATTTGCATCAAATCACCTCAAACATGTCGAAATTTCAAACATACACATCGAAATCTACCAGAAATTAACTGCCTGTGGCTCGCGTAACACAGTCGATTACTGCACGACATTTCAATGTGGATCCAAGTATATACTCATCACAGGAAATAGGTGATTTTAGGTGTCAACTTCTTTTGCATTTCGTCACCAGTTTACTACTTGGTGTGGACACACCGTAGATGGATTTATTGGGAAAGTAACAGAAATATGCAAATTCTTATATATCGAACGTTAAATAATAAGTGAAATGAAAATAAGGTACCTAATTCACTGCGGTACTGCTCTTCGACAAATTTGAAATTCTGTAGTAATGAATCGTATACTGAAAGATTGAAAGAGAAGAGGGTCATTGAATTTGGCTCTGTACATGGTGTGCAGAAAACAAGTGAGTCTTTGCAGTGACATCGATCAGATCAGGGGACACAATTATACTGAACACATGTACTTGAGCCAGCAACACTCCCTATGAATTTACATTGTCACAAATCAATTTCAATGATTGCATGTACAACTAAGAGATATTACGATACATCCAACGAAATCCAATGAATTATTCTCTATTCTGGGAGATTCAGTGTACCAATGCACAGTGCTTATCCAAATGATATCAATGCGTGATGAAAATTGAAACTAATCGAATCTCTACGAAGTAACTCATGGAAACTAATCTGACGCCAACCAGTAACTGGCTCTATACAGTATGAAGTGATGTGTAGTTCTAGTCAGAGGTTTTGACCACTGGGATCCACCACGTCGGGTGTATGGATAAATACACGCCAATGACATTCGTTGGTGGTCAGGCTACAATCACGAGTTATTAGAATCGCGAGTTCATAGAGTGGTCGCTGGACCGGGTACCAGTCATTGAATTATCTGCCACCACGAGTTGTAACCAGTAGTTCTTGGATTCAAATCGTGGTCAGTGAGTGCCTGTTCAATTACTGCTCATCAAAACTATTTGATCAGGCTGAATGGAGATTCAAAGACAAGACGAAACAGATGTCCAGTACTCTCTGATCTTCAATGCTCGTGAAATAGACACTACTACACGAGAAGATATGGGAATAGTAGACGGAATATTTTATCATGAAAAAACACCTGATATTTGAACATTGTTAGCAACATTAAATCTCGGCTAGCTCACGGGGGAGAACATGCTTCTGACTGGTTGGCGATTGACCCTAGGCTAAATAAGTCTCGCAATGAGGTTATTTCATGTCTCCAACGTGACGGAAATCCAGATTTGAGGAATAAACACTTCTATCTCTGCTGCAGCCATTCACCGAACATGTCGATTTCAGTGTTGGCCACTTCCTGTCAATCTGCCTCACGCCACCACATCATTCCATGATCAGACTTGAAACAAATGAGAATCCTGCAAACCAACTCATAGGGAATGCATATTGCACGCATCAAGTGATAAGACAATTCCGAGAGTAATGAATGAACTATCACGATAAACACTTGATGGGACATGCACAATATTATCGTGCTATCATTCTTCTGCTGTCGAATGATGTGCGAATTGTAATGTCTCGCAATCTGAAGTATGCATTCGAATGCTCACTAATTATGATAATCCTTCAAACAGGTTGAAGTGAGCATATGCCGCTTACGTGTCTCCTTCTTATTCAACATGAGTTCCTTGAATGCTTCATTTATTGCATAAAGCCTGTTTTCAGCAGCCCCTGAAAAATTACACAGTAAATCGTGATCATTGAATCTTAGAGGTCAATAGGAGTAAGCGAAGATTAAAATATATTTTGAACAGAAAAAAATGGTCAGTTCATTATTCATCTCAGTCGTTTTCGCTGTTTTCCAGACCCCCAAGTGTTAGTTCACACACACTCAAATTCCAATGCAGTTCATCGGATCGTGATTAGATGATTGGAGGTAATCGGCAGGAAGCCGTGGACATATGTTTCGTAATTTCTAAACTCACTTCATTGTGTGTGGTCGATCAAGTAGCGTGCTTGCTAGGAATACAAGTAACCACTGTACAGCATCGTCGGCTGACAAGTATTCCTTGTGATCACCGCTTCTGTTGCTGGATAGGATGCCTCTGTCAATTCATCCATCACTTTGAGGAATTTCATATGATGAAAGCACGAAATCTGAGTACAGAGCATCTTCCCGATTACCCGCAATCACCTTACATTCACCCAGTGTGCTTCATGCTGGAATCAAGCTGTAAATCAAAAAATGATAAAATTCAGTCTGCACCAACCTGCGGACTAGACACATCACATCGGCTACTTTTTAGTGATCAATCGAGTTATTGTTTTGTGTCATTCACGCTTTTCACACTGGTAACACTGACTGACGCAAAGTGATGATTCGTCATGTCAGACTGCATTGTCACATCCTGAATGCCTCGTGCTCTGCGTCGTTCCGTTGCAAGTAGTACCCTCCTTCGTAACAGGGAAGATCATCAGTTGTTCTGCAGCAAATATGCAGCCAGCCTGATAAGTCGCTTATTTGGAGGTTACCTGAGGTTAAGTAAACTCTGATGCTGTGCATCATGAACTGGTCACCAAGTCTGTCGAATTTGTGATTGTCTCTAGCCAGAAGTAAACTTGCATTTGGATACATTCATCGACACTAATTAGGAATAGTATCCACGTGGACTACAAGATATTTTTTGTTGAGCGAGTTCTGCATCATGTTATAACAGAACGTTTGCCACATAACGTACCATATCACTTCAGAATATATGTACATGAGTATACATAAATAGATAAGTGCAACTGCAAACTTACGTTTCAGTATAACAGTTTGTCCCACCAATCTCCAGATATCCGCTTTCCCTATTCTAGTGACTTTAGGGAGAGAAAAACGCCAGCGTTATTGATCAGATAACTTAATGAGTGTTGGCCAGCCAACTAAACAGGTTTGTAAAGAACAGTACAAGCTGGAGATGTGCTGTTGAAGCCCTATCTTCCACTCAGAATCCATTAGGACAGTTATAATAATAATGATAACAATCATAATGGGCTATTGGGCTGCACTTCTTTATCAGAATATACTGGATATTCACATAGTTTCGGATTTATGTCGTGTCATTCACTCATGTTCAGTGCTTATTGCAGTTGAGGTGAATCCAAAATATGCAAATTATGCAAATAATGTGGCATACCACTTGTCAACTGATGTAAATCACAATCATCAGCATGTTTGCAAAACTTTGATGAGTGGTGTCACTTTCACCTGCCTCGACTTTACTGAAGAACAAGATTTCCCACACATCAAGGGAAGAAGTGACATATTATCTAGGCTCGCATGCATTCTGGCAATCAGTGTATTGAATGGTGGAATGTTCTTTTGACGTACCCAGTATCGTGTGGACACCTCAATTCATAGAAACATGAATTCAAGGCATCAGCTTGCCATTAATTAATTACTTCGCATGAAAAAATGTTACAAATAGTGAAAATTGAACCTCGAACACTCACCTTCCTTCTTCGAACACGTAGCCGATGATCTAGACAGCTGAGCATCTACAAGAAATTTAAAAGAAGAAACGAAATTCACTTAACGTGCTAGGGACTGTTTAATTTTAGTATAGTTTAATTACGTTCTCATATTCGGGACTGAATAATCCCCATCAGACATTTACCAGTCTGATACATCCAATTAAAATGAAGCGATGCATTTTTCCGTCTGCGTCTCACTCACACTTATTCTCAACACAAATCAGTCTGTAATTCAAGGCAAAGATGGTTTCTCAAAGCCTGTCATAAAAGCTCATGAAGAAATCCACATGCGATGTGCTTCTCATACACGAAGTTGGAGGGTTATGTGGAGGCACAACAATTAATGACCCACTGACTGACTGACACAAAAAAGTTGACATTATTTAATTTCTGCAGTCATTCGCCTTGTGAGCCTGCAATTAGTCGTATGTGTGCAGTTCACCATGATGCCGTTCACACCGAGTTTCATTCAACACCTGACCGTTCTATCAATTTACAGTAGTGAGAAAGTCTCACTGATACATACTTACTAAAGAAAAATGTATCGACTGCTTTACTCTTTTACCTTCAGTAGCATCCAATCTTGCTCTGGCTTTCCATTTATTTTCAACTGTCTTAATAAGGATTTTAATATCTACAGGAAATAGAAAAGGAAAATGTGTATGCATCGACACGTGTTTGTTTCCTGTAATTCAAACTAGAAAACTGCTAATGAAAGCCACTTATTGTGAGGATGCATTTTAAATAGTCCAATGTTTATGTGTTGCAATGAAATCCAGCATTCGCATTTCATCCTATTAGAGACTGGTCATCTGGATGTACTTGCCTTCTCCAGTGAGTGATTGTGTTTCTCCCTTCCATACGCAACACACACACACCAAGATTCGAACTCAGTGCTCCTCGTTTCGAATGCCAAGGAGGTATCCACTGGAGAATACAATTCCACTTCAATGGCCAGTCACTATCCGCCATGTAATCAAACCAGGTAGAATGGCTGTTCACTTGACATTCATCAATGGACACCTACATAATTTAGCTTATTCGAAGAAATACTAACGATTAGCTCGATCTCATTATTCATCCAGCTCCAGGATACTCTGAACAAATCAGATTTGTAGGCACTAGCGAAGATCCGTCCACATGATGACTGTCTGACAAATAGTGTCTGACCACTTTCACTGGACAATTTGTCTTCTGTTTTGCTGCAAACTCAATTCTATCAGTCCAGTTTGCAATGTGGCCATCATGCTATGTGGCTGAACATCACGGTGTGGATTGCCACCAAATATCCCACAGTAGCTTGACCGCATTTCAAACAATGCAACTTCACGTATGAAATGCTCTTCATCCGTTTCATGCATAGAAACAATGAGTGTGTTTGTGTATTCAATATGATTAAGCACACAAATATACGAGATAACTACCAGTGGATTCGGTATCTTCTAATGAAGATATACTTCCACGTCAGCGGTCACGCCCTGTATAAACGATTTGTGTGCAAATCACATCCATGCCAGTGTCATGAGTATGTCACTCGCATGTGTCATGTTTCCATTGACTGCGATAAGAAAGTATTAAAGTAAATGAAAACTTGGTAATTACCTTCTTCGCGCAGACTAGTAGATTTATTCAGGCGTTTCCCCTCTTCGTACTCATCTACAAGCATTAAAATTGTGCAATCAAGTAGGAGGATACCAGTTGACATAATTAGTGGCAGATAAACGATGATGTTCACTTCATGATAAAATCCTGACAATGTTCCTACTACTCAACAATAACACTATTTGTGAACAATATTTCAAATGAGATTCTCATCCAGGTGTTTACTGAGTGGATCTACTGGTTCTCCATGAACGGTAGATGGATGCCTAATAGGGGAATGGAAAGAGAAGAATTTGAAGATGCGTCTTTGTATTTGAGTGTTCGTCTCTATTAGTGACATTGTAAGCGGAAGTGCGATTCGCTATGCTCCGTCAGTGGAAAGGTCTCATACGATCAACCAGTGGACTGTTGCGAAGAATGAGAAGAAGAAGGAGACGGAAACCTCGTTTGTGTAAACCACACGTTAAACTATCTCAGTATACACAAGTAGCAAATAACTCACTTGCATATCGTCTCTTAGTGTCTTCGTCAGTCACCTCGTTCGCCTGGAATACAGGTGAAGCTGCAAACAAAGTTGAAAATTATCATGAATCTCATGTATGTGAATGAGGAATCAATTGTAATGTCTGATTCTTACAATACATAGATGTGATGAGTGATCGGCTTCCCATGAATGTGTGTGTAAAAGTGCATTTCACTTTTCGAGCAATGTTCTTGCTGACTCCGATCGATATTATACCAGTAGAGTTTCTACTGACACTGAAGGCATCATCGATAGTGCTGTTCACTGAACGAACACAATGACATCATCATTTCTATGTATGCTCACTGAGTGAAAAACGATTGTGCAGCGATCACCGGAATGATTTTTACAGACATCAGTGAACTAGTGAGAGTGATGACAATGTGGAATGCAGCATAATGCAACGTAAGTTGCCAGTAATGCATGTTTCTATTAAGTTCCGTGGATGTGGCTAACCACTGGCTGCAGTCAACTCTTACCAATAAAATCTCGATTTAAATCTCTTTCCATTTATTAAAGGCTAGTCAGTATTTTCGGATAATTAGCCACCATAGAATGGTGTGACACACGGTGCTGTATCTGCTAACAGCTTCTAATTTACTGACCAATTAAATAACTCACTAGGTATATAACTAAGTATCCAAATAACCTTGAAATATGTAACTAACTAACCCTGAAATAATCAGGCAGCTAACTCACTAACTTCGAACTAACTAACTAACTAATTAACTAAGTAAGTAACTTACTAACTGATTTACTAACTGACTAGCCGATTTTTACAATAGGATACACTCGAAAAAGTTTAGATTCACATCGCAACACCCCTCCTCAATCAACCAATTAAGTGGCAAACAAATTGATGCAATAATTTCACTCACATATTAGTTCATTAATCCATTTCAGTCGGTATAAATTATCCAGTCTTTGGCTTTCTAAATTAATAAAACATTTGTGTAGAAAATAACAAGTGAGAGATGCAATTACTGGATTCAAATTAGACACTCGATAAATCACATTTGAAAGATGTGAACTCCTCCTCTCTGTAATTGTGTTTCATCTTACAACACATATGAATTATCAAAGAGAGTTTGAATACTCATCAACAAGGCGAGAAAGACACAAGCACACACACACACACACAACGTGGACGCTACAAACACTATGATCTATATCGAAGGAGGAGACATACTTTTCTCAAGGCGGTGGGAAGCAAATGATGGGAACTAGGAGTAACATATGTCGGAATGATGTAGGTTATTCAGTTATTAAGAGCTAGAATGACTGTGTATTCGTCAGGTAATTGGACTAATGCACTGGGGAATAGAGTTCAAGATTGTTTGGTAGAAAGAAAGTTTAACCGGAAAGCGTATAACACCATGATAGATTAGAAAACCACAGAAAGTTTATTTTTCTATAACAGTGCAACAAAGGTGCTAGAGTGAATAACATTCAGATGAAATAATTAAGTATTTCCAAACAGGACAGAAGATGACGCGAAGCAGCTAAAATTAAAAGGCTCACTGTCAGGCATTAAACAGACCGATTGCGTGTCATCTGTTCTTCACCGCTCAAATTGTCGACAGTCCAAAGTCAGTCAAAATAATCAACAATCAAAAGAAACCTAAACTGCTACATTTTGCTGAGACAGTCACCATGAAACGATTAGAATCAAATCGATGCATGGAGAAAGAAGGAGAGTGGAGAGACTTACACTGCCTTGATGGTGTAGCATAGTACGCAGCTTCATTATGACATCTTCTATCCTGCTCAGAGAAATGTTAATGTTTCTACTTGTGCAGCTGATTGTCTTGTTGCACTCTCACCACACAAACGTCGTTTCTACTCAAAATCCATGAATTTTGTTGTCAAGAGTATTGGTTTAAATAGTCTATAAATTGTCGGTCTTTCTAATTCCTAGTAACCTTGTAGCTAACACCATTTCTCACTTATGTTACCCTTCGTTACTATCAATTAAACCATGTCATCTTGAAAAATATGATGTTAAATCCTTCCTCACGATTTACATTCCAGTTGTTTTGTTGAGGTTGTAGTCCGTTGAGTCGAATAAAATACGATCTCATATTAATAATACAGTGCCCATTCATCGTTGTTGTCTCGTTCAACTTGAACAATAGGAAGAATTGTACGAAGTATGGAAAACTCCGTGTGATGCGTATAGTTGGAAATGATTCTCATCCACTTCAGGTCATATCGTGAATAACAATGTGTAATTTAATATATCGTATAAAATTTTCCTACACATCAATAATCTCACCTGTTAGCAGCACTCTAACCTGGTATGCATCATTGGGAACAGCCTGATTCCGCAAAATATTAACTACGAAAGGAAGAAATTTGAAAGATTACAACGGTCGGGTGAGTACTGCCGATTATTCTCAAATTACTACAAAACAGGAAGCTATCCCTTACACCCCAGACTTTGGATGATTCTCTCACTGATATCAACCCACGGGCAAACCTGAAACACCTGAACGTGTGTTTGATTGCCGCATATAACAGTTTACCGCTTTTATCACCCCAACCCACAATACTAATCATGGCCTTCCACGGAACAGGCAGTAATCGTGATATTGACTGGAAATATATTTGACGGCAAACATGCACGAATACCAGTGAAATTCAGACAGTATAAATGATATATATCCGATCATTAGAAATGTCACTCTATTCAGTTCTCACATATATCGAATGCCCTCACCTAGGAGATAAATGTCTTCCATGTATGATGTGATGTTTGCATACATCAGTTGCATATTGCTACGCACGCCTACTGAAATATCTACTCACAGATGATCATCTCACTCGTCATGTGGACAAACACACAGAGACATATCATGTGTGCCTCCGATGAAAGAAGAGCGTACTGTTGTACGATGACGCAACAATCAAAAATGAATAACAAATCGTGTTCAAGTGATCCAGTAAAGAATAGAACGAGTTTAAATCAATACAAATTCTCAATGCTTACATTGCACTAGTTGGCTTAAGAAATATGCTGTCTTGTATTCCATCAGTGCTGACTTGAAATCATCTAGAAGACAATTTAATTTATAACAAAAGATATTATTCCTAATAATACAATGGATAAAAGTATAAGGTGTTCAAGAAATGGATGAGGAGGTGAATCCTGTTGAGTGCAACGATAATCATCAGTGAAATTCTTGATTGGCAAAATAAACATGACAACTGTTCAGTCGATTGTGACTCTGTGAGTATGCGTGAGTAGTGCTCTTCCTATCATATGTGCATTCACTTGTAGTGATTGGATGTGACTGCGACTAAGTATTCGATATACAAAAAATCTCAGTGCTTTATTGTGAGTGCATTTCATATAAATCAGAATGTACTCGTATTAAATCACCCACCTTGTGCATTCGAAGTAGAACGATGGGTATCTGGAAAATGAAACAAATTGATGCACAATTCAGGGTGGTGTGTAGTAAGAACCTGATGACTAGTATAGCGAGTAGGAATGTGCATAGATGTGTAACAGAAACGCCTATTTAGTGGGTAGAACAACAAGGTGATTTCAGGGGAATCTCTTGTTAGTCAACGATTTGCATGTGAGAAGCTATAAATGACATCGGAGACGAAATGTGGTATGGAAGGAATACCTACAGAAAGATTCACATGAGGCTAAAATAAAGAGAATCTCTACTAGATCAGCTCCAAGTGGATAATTGTCTGAACGGATCCGATGGAAAAGAAGCTAGACCACGATACACACATCGACGTCTTTTCATTATCTCAGCTTACACCAAAACAGACTGATGTTCGGACTATGTGAAGGAGATTAGACCTGTCAAAAGCCATCTAGCTTCCTGCTGAAAGCAAGATTCTCAGGTGTAGCTGCTGAATTCAGCCAATGCTAAAGTAAGGAAGTTGTACCAGTCTGAGAAGTATATTGACAGTGCCTCAAGAGTCTAGTGCCAACGAACACATAATGGCAATCGTTTTGATACCTATATAATATAGTTGTTTCGAACCCCTGTGTTCCCTCCCTCGTCTGCCTTTGTGTGCTGCAGGCAATGTGGCAACTTCAATTGTTATGCAGAAACTTAAACAGTGAGTCAGTGAGCACGTTTATGAAGTCCATGCACTGTAGGCTAATACTATCGCTACTATTAGGCATGTTGTTTATAGTCATGCAATGGATAAATTTCTATATATCTGCTCAAAACTATGCCATGAATGATGTGTGTGTGTGAGTGGAAGGGGATTTATAAATTGCAAGTACGTCAATGACATTTACTCACTAAATTATGAATGCCATCCAACGAGATAAGTGTCTCTAAATTCATCACGATTTCATATCAAAATCCTCCCTTGTCTTAACACTTTACACGAAATCCACCTTCACGTCATTCGGAGGTGAAATCACATCGATGTCTATCGACTCACGGCAAACAGACTTCGTGAATTCGTCTCACATTCTGTATTTAAAATCAAATCAAACCAATTTCCAAAGAAACATATAGCCACAAAAGTAACAATCCCATTCATCAACTTACCAGAACAGCCCAACAAACAGTACAGTAGCAATAAAGTGACGGAGACTAAGTGTCTCATCCTCACTCAGTGCACCAACTTAATGACTGATTAATGTTTGAGCATCCGCCGTATTTATACAGTATAGTGTGCGTGTGTGTGAGTGGGAATGATGGTGTGATTTCAGTTGACCTGAAGTCCACTTCAGAGATTTGAATAAGCACTGTGCATTTTCACGTCTCAAGCACACTCTCTCTGATGGGAGCACTTTTCTCAGGATTCAGTTGAAACATTTCAATTAGTTTTAAGAGTTTAGATAAAGTTTATTGTTTATCACTTTAAGTGTAGTTGCCAGGTATACGTGAGATTTTCTATAGGTAAGGCGATGAACACCGGTTTTTGCTCAGCAAAGAAATACTGTTTTTTCAACGATTTTATTTTCCAGCTAACTGTACAATCGTACTATTATTACAGAAAGAGAAAGCATTAAGTGGATGCACTAGAAATTTCTCAGTCAACACTGCACACATGATGATGAGAATAAAGATAATTGAAACGATGTACTAAGGGCGAGGTAGAGTTGAAGTGGATGAATTACAAAACTCTCACAGATTATTCAATATGTGAACTGGTGTAAAGATTTGAAAATTTCAGGTCAAGCGTTGTTAAGAAAAATAAGCAGTAAGATAATGATAACAATAAAGAAAGATAGTGAAGGTGAATTGAAGTAGAATGAATTGAGGTGGTAAAATAAAAACAGAATTAAAAGAACATTATTATGACCAAGATGAATAAAAGGGGTTCAACAAAACGTTTCTCAATACATAATTTAGGCTTTTGTCCATGTATAGCTAGAGCTTCAGCTATGCATAAGTGAAGAAAATGTAAAGAAAATTTTCTTTTCGACTAAGTCATCAACCAGACTGGACACACGTGTGTTTACAGCAAATGGTTGAGAATGTTCCAGCTTCACTTCTGGTTGAGGGTTGAATAAACATGGTTACAAGTAGGGATTCGAGTGCAATAATAACAAAATAGACAGAAAGTTCGGATAAGAAACGTAACTGGATAGTCATCCCAATTGAGTGAAATTACTGTTTTCGATGACCATGTTAAAGACGAAGGTTGGACGCGTTTATATTGGATACAAAGCATGGGCTTAGAATTCAATATCGCAAGTGCATTAGCTATGCTCAGATCCCTTTATCTCACTGCCTTTGATGGGTTTAATCAGATCTTGAATTTGACTCTGAACAACATTTCAAATGGAGGTGTGTTCATTCAATGTTCTGTAAGCGAGCTACATAAACACACCATTGAATTCTACCACATTCATTTGTTTGCTATGAGTGCGCGATTCGCTAAGCGTAACTCTAAAAGGAAGACATTTGAAAGATTACACCAGTGGGTTGAGTGCTACAGATCACTCTCGACCTAGTACGAAACAGCAGGCTATCCCATACACGCACACTCTGATGAGAGCACTTAAGTGAAGTGTTTTCTCAAGATTCAATTGAAACATCTCAATTAGTTTTCAGGGTTCAAATAAATGTGATTGCCTATCGTTTTAAGTGTGGTTGCCATAGAAGATTCATTGAGGAAACAGAAATCAGGGTGTACCTGCAATTTTACACACACATAAAGTGATGAGTCTACGAATAGGAAGGAGTAAAACTGTGAACAGTGAAGTCACAGAAAATCCGATTGATACAGAAGATTCAGCAGGGCATCTTGAATTGCTTCAACATAATAGAGATAGAAAACTTATCTCAACACACCCACTGGTTTTCATTCAATCTCGATTTTCCCGTTGGTTGATTCCACCGCCGTGTTTGGCCTGTGTTGACATGCCGGCTGCTAGCACTGGCACGTCGACAATATCTGAGGATTCAGTTGAATTAGTTTGATAAATGTTGTCTAGCAGTGGAATCCACCAGTAGGATGCTCATTCCATTTGATTTGGAACTCGTCAGCTAGGTGATGTATCTGCACTACCCAGTGAGTGAGTGAGTGAGTGATGTTTTTCTCAATGTGACTCGAAACGAGTGCACGTCGTTTCAACTGCAATGCGTGATCCAATCGCAGAAGTGTCCGTACTAGTAGCTGACACGTCAGCAGAGGCTGAATAACCCTGTTCAATCAGTCAAGCAGAAAATCGATATTGAATTGGAAATAAAAACATGCCGATAGTCGTTGCAGAGAAGGAGGAGGCTGTGGTTGTCCGAGCGGTCTTGTGGTACAAGTTGTGTTTGGCGTTTGAAACTATGGCTAGTAGACTAGAGTCTTGGTGTGAAGACCATCAGTCACTGTGGAATGCAGGTACATCAATTAGCTGACGAATTGCAGACAGGGTGAGGTGCACATCCTGGAGGATTCCACTGCTAGTCACCATCCATCTCATTGCCTCAGGCATGTTGAAGATCGCAGTTCCAAACTGCTGAAAATTGAATGACATGTTAAGAGAAGAGGGGAATTTCCATAATCCCCTCTCCTTCTCTTTGCCAACTAAGATTTAGAGCCTCGCTTGATCATGTGCTATCCTTGCACATTCCTTTCTCGAAAAGCCTTCGATAACGTGACACATAAACACAACAACTCGCTATATTTTACGAACTTGACTAACTGAATGCTGTCTACAAACATCTGTGATTTTCGACACCCAAGTTAAGCATCCTGTAGATGATAGTCTTAAGAATGCTGACAGCATGTGAGACATTTCTCTTTTCGCTTGATTTAACAGTCAATATTCGATTAGATGTTTGCGTTAATCTGCAATCGGATTTTAACATATTACTGCTTAATTCTACTGTTTTCTTAGGTTCCGAATAGAGAATAGGGTTTCAACAGCACATCCCCGCTCCACCTCCTTGTCTGCAATCCTCTTTATCTGCCTTCACCATCATCCATATGCTAACATCTCCTCCTCACACGATCTCCGTCATGTCACACTCAGATATATACCCAATTCGTCACTTCACATTCGGGTAGCGATCAATGGGCTGACAAGTGATGACATTCGATTGTCTCCTCAGATAAAAAGAAGTAAGGAGATATGGCATAGAAATGTTTCAAATCGATGTGAAGAGATGGGACTGAGACTTCAAGTTGTTCAATGGAGAGCCAAAAATCTACCCTAGTCACCTGGATGACAATTATGAGGATACTGAGACAGAGGCTGGCACGATGTCAACAACAATATATTGATCTCTGATTTAGTGCGTATCAGTATTCCCTAGGATAATCACATCAAGATAACATTTCGATGGGGCAAAGTCGCAGTTAACCAATCCATTTATATTGCAAAACAGTTGACTGACATTCTGGAGACGTTAAGGAAACATTTGTGCAGGTAATCACTTCATGATGCTTTCTAACCTATCGACTGCATACAAGATATTAACGCCAGTGAGGAGAGAATACCATCTCTCGACAATGAATCATTTTCCCCCAATATCCTACTAATGGAAACTGTCTGTTTCACTCCTGCGTGAAGTTATTTTTCTAAACTTCATGATGTCGCCTG